TAACGGGGAGTCCCTTAGGTTGTTGCACGGAGCTGCCCAGGAGGCTCAGTGGGAAAGAATCTGTCTGCCAACATGTAAGACCCGGGTTCGATCCCTGGACTGGGAAGATCCCTTGCGAAAGGAAATGGCAACCCACTCCAGTATTCTTGCCTGGAGAATTCCACGGACAGAGGAGCCTGCTGGTGGTGGTTGGGGGTGGTGTCCTGCAAAATGAGTCAGACATGGTTTAGCAACTGTACAACGAGGTTGTTGGACAGAGGAGACATGTGCTCCAAGGACTGGCTGGGGAGATGCCCCAGCAGCAGAGTCCACGGTGGCTTGGGAGGCGCACATGGTGGTGAGGGGCCAGGCAGCGGTCCAGGCCTGGACTGAAGATGGGAGAGAACGGGAAGAGAAACAAAGCCAGGGGGGAGAAGTCCGTGCCCGTGAATGCTGACCAGCAGGCCTCGTTCTCACCACTTGCTCATCCTCCAGGCCACCAGCCCCCTTCCAAGCCTCAACTTCTCACCTGTGAAGCAGGACCATCTGCCCCACATGGCCCTGCTGGAGGGCAAAGGTACAGGCCATGCGTGACGAGCCCCGCGCAGTGACTTCAGTAGGGAGGATGAACCAACCTGGCGATGTGCCGATCCTCCAGTTGGTTCAGAGCAGCCAGAGAGCAGTCCAAGGTCTGGACTCTGCATCAAGACATTTTCCTCCCCATTTCCATCTATTCACAAAGGTCAGCAAAATCCTTCCTTGCATTTTGCTTTTAAATTTATTTCCACTCTTGGACCTCATTCAGAAATCATTACATTGTTAGACTTACATTTTAGAACATACAGAAACAGGAACAGATCAGTCGCTTTAGATCATTCGAGGAACAGTTCATTTCAAAAACACTTGCTTTTGAAAAGCTTCCTTGGAATTGGCTGGGGGAAAAAAAAAACACAAGAAAGTAGCCTTCATTGCAGAAAGTAATTTTTAAGGAAATGCAGCTTTATTTCTTTCAAGTACAAACAATAACTTGGGCTTGGCCAAACCAAATGTTGCCTGACCAAGGGAACCTGCTTTCATGTATGGAGATAAATGATTCCTAGTTAGCACAATCATTCACAGGTGGAAGAATGCTTCTGTGACGCATGAAAATAACTTCTCATCTTATAGAGACATCTTGTTCCACAGTCACTCCACTATTTGCTTAAGCAATCCCTTCTCCCCTGCCCACCCACCCCAGAGAGTGCCAATATTACTTCACCTCACTCCCCCGAGATCACAACATACATCAAATAAGCGAAACAGAAGTTCCACGCTGCCATAGGTGTTGGATTGGTGAGAACAGCCTGTTTCAACCTGAGCATTCTCATCAAGAGAACTAAGTCTAAATGAATGAAATGTGTCTGTTCACAATGTCAGTATATGGACACCAACAGCAGTGAGCTTTTACCATCTGAATTAATAACTGGCCAGGTTTAAATATGCAAAAACACATTTTTATTTGAGTACATTCATGAAGAGCAGAAGTTAGCTGGGTTTCTTAAGCTGCAATCATTAAGTATGTTCACACTAGTCAAGACTGTAATACAAGTTTTAAGCAACTGGGGGAGACTGGATACACACGGAAACGACTTGATGGCAAAACACCTTTTGCACTGAGCACGGTCACTCAGCCTCATCAGGCTGAAAGGAGTGGTACAAAGGTAACTGGTAATCCATCTGATGGTTTATCCTGAAAGAAATTCCATTTCCTAGAGTAAGTGCAGGGAGCTGCAGATCAGGACACAGAGGTGGCTGGCAGGCACTTCTGTCAGGAATGCTAACCTGGCCCCTCTGTCAGACACTCTTATCTAGGGACTGCAGAATTCTCAAGAGGGTCTTGGTCACCTCAAACCTTGGCAAGCACCAGCATAAGCAGGTAGGAAGGCTGTGTCGGGGACGGACCTGGGGCCTCTCCCCTACGCTGACAACCCTATGGCGCTGAAGGGAAGCGGAGTGCGCGCCCTGGTGCAGGCTGCCTCCCAGGACAGCAGTCTGACTACACGTTTCCCTACAGACAACGGCAAGTGGTTCGGATGCCAGGGCCCGGCAGAGGCCCAGACGAGGAGGCATGGAGAGCCAGAAGCAAGATGGTGGGGAGACCCATCTCTAGGCACCCCAGAAGTCGGGGCAACAACCACGGCTTCAGGGGTTGGCTGGGTTTGGCCAAAGCAACGCATCAAGCTGGGCTCCCCTCCTTCGCTGCTTCTGTTCAGCTGAAACGCCTCACCTGACAGAAGCGACTTCTTCATGACTAACATAATACTGTTTGCAGAAGTGTTTCTTTTCCCCCTAAGATGTTGTACAAATGCAGAGCGCTAAACATTCTCCTGAGAGCAAATACTAGCATGATCACGTGATCCTTACTCATGGTTTCCTGAGCATTCCCAGCGGCCAGAACAGAGTGACTCTGAACTAGGAAAAAGGAAGTGCACACCTTAAAACCGAATACAACATTCCCTTTCCTCCACTTAAAAGCTATTCAAACATGTGTACTTCCTGTGGGACTTGTTCAAAGTCAAGCCCCTCCCCTGGAGGAAGTCTTTCTTCCTACTTCTCCGAAAGGTCTAAGATGTCAGGTGAAACCCAGCTGTTGACATCATTTATTATATTCTTCAAATAATGGGGTTTGCTGGGGGGAACCAGCTTCCTTTGGAATGGGAACCAAGTCTGCTGAAACCTCACACCCCCTCAGCTCTCTCGGACCCCATCCTCTCCCCAGAGCCCCAAGTTCTTATGAGTCCCTCCACAGACCTGAGCAGACAGCCACCCCACCTTCTACCACACCAGGGTTACCGGAGAAATCCAATGCTCTGGAAGAAAGATGGCATCTATCTGTTCATGACCTAAGGATTTTTCAGAAATGAGAATACTCACAAAAGAAGAGGCAAAGGCAAATCCCTAGCCTCTGAGCTATGGAAGCAGAAGTCAGTGTCCGGGAAAGAGTGCCCCCAACTCTGTGAAAGGAGCCTGATTTACCCCTGCCCACTGCGCTCACCAACTCCCCAACTCGCTTTATTTTTTTCCAAAGGATGAGTCGGTTTTCCATTTTTATAGAAGCTGTTGTTGTTGAATCACTAAGTCGTGTCCAACTCTTTGCCACGCCATGGACTGCAGCACGCCAGGCTCCTCCTCTGTCCTCCACTATCTCCCAGTTTGCTCAAATTCATGTCCACTGAGTCAGTGATGCTATCAAACTATCTCTTCAGCCCCCTTCTCTTTTTGCCTTCAATCTTTCTCAACATCAGGGTCTTCTCTTAATGAGTTGCCTCTTTGCATCAGGTGGCCAAAGTATTGGAGCCTCAGCTTCAGCATCAGTCCTTCCAGTGAATATTCAGGGTTGATTTCCTTTAGGACTGACTGATCTCCTGGCTGTCCAAGGGACTTCAAGAGTCTTCTCCATCACCACAAGTCAAGAGCATTCGTTCTCTGGTGCTCAGCCTTATTTACGGTCCAGCTCTCACGTCTGTGCCTGACCACTGGCAAAACCACGGCTCTGGCTCTATGGACCGCAACACTGTATGAAGAGGGATGAAGGCAGGACTCCGAGGATGCGGCCAAAATCAGCTGCACCACCTCCATGATAACTTTGGTATTCTCCACTGAAAACGGAAAGGAGATGTGCCATACAAGCTTTAGGTCTGTCATTTCTAAGTTTTCCCCACAGATGACTATATAATCGCGTGGTCTTTAAAGCGATTGGATGTATGTCGGAAGGTGAGGTGGGACTACGGATGGTCATTCGATCTGTGATCTCAGTTTCATGTTCCAGGTGGATGAAAATGAGAAGAGTCACTTCCCCTCACCGTGGCCCAAAGCCTCCTGAGGTTCCTGAGAAATAGAGTCCAGCTTTGAACTAGTCCCATTTCTTAAAAGGACCCAGCAGCGCTCACCCACAGAAATCAATGTGAGATGGATTTGGGGTATGAAGATCTTGTTCTTTCACCTGATTTCCTCAGAGTCTCGGCATGGATATTACCTAAATCCATCCTTGGGACCAACCGTCAGTTCTCATAAACCCTGACTTTGCAGCATTCGGAGGTCTGTTGTCAGGCTCTAGGGTGAGAGGATTTGGGAGTGCACTGTCCCCCCTGTACTTTGAATCATTCTCAGCTCTGCCAGCAACCCTTTTCCTACCTGAAAAATGGGTTAATATCAAAGTTAACAAGAAGAAAGAATCCCTCATATTCCCAGGCAGGGCTCCCACTCAGGCTCCAGCTCTTAAATTCATCTTCTCACTATTAATACTTTCCTGGAGGTCCGTGACTGAAAGGCCCCCCCTCACTCCTCTGTCACACAACTGGGAACTCTTGAATTCTTCCCAACACTTGTTCCCTAGACTTTCTCCCTAATGTTTGTGACAATTACATTAAAACACCGCCACTGTAGAATCACAGCCTCGTCTACTCTGCAGGAATGAGAAGGTGGGGAATGTGAACTGGCAGCCTGTAGACTCGCTTCATTTATTAGCCCACTGCATTTCACATTATCTCCAAGTCATTGTCCACATTTTTAAAATTAGGGAATTACAAACACAATTCTGGAGGCCTACCTCCACCTGACACATCAGAAGGCCTGTGCAACGCTGGGCTTACTCCTGCCTGGCACTCGGGGCTCTGAAACTGCCCCATAAGAGGAGCTTCCCCTGGTACAGCTCCATCCTGCCCAGAGGGCTGCACTCACCTATGCTCTCTGCATGGCTCCCTGGGCCTGTGAGTTTGCAAACCCCAATCTAGCACAAGTCCTTCATTTTCAACAGAAAGTTAGCCTGCCTGAGGCTACCCATCAAGAGAGAGACAGCGGAGGAAGGAGAGTCAGGGTCAGAGATCTTTCTCTCTGAGCTGGCACACCCTGCCTCTTCAGAGAACCCCAACTCCTCTCAGCACTTCTTCCACCAACTGCAAACAGTTTTTAAAGCAGACTATATTAACATTTTCCACATTCCCTTTTATCCATTCTTTTTTTTGCATGTTTGATTTCCTTATAGATGACAACTCTGTATCAGTGATTTCATTTATAGACGATCTCCAAGATCATCATGCCAAGAAACAACGAATTAGCAATCGGACAAAAATGAAGCATCAACTTTTGCACAGCTCGGCAGACACAGGACCAGAAAGAATCCCAGAAATAAATGACAGCCTAACAACTAGCTATACAGACAGAGAAAACGGGGCCAGAGAACTGCACTCCTGGGCTGCGGGGCTCCTAGGGAACAGAGCCAGGCTTCAGTCTGCCAGCTTGGCACCTTCCACTGAACCGTGTCCCCTCTATGCAGTCATGGAGGTGGCAGGTGACCCAGCCAGCTTGTTCCACAGAAACAAAGACTAGAGAACTTCGTGCATCTCAGACACAGCCGACCTTGGCTCTGACAAGAACGAGGGCTTAAAACGTGTCACAAACCATCAATCTATAGAAGTGGATTTGCACTGAAGACACATTTTCTTTAGAACTGGTATTTGGTGGAGAGCATGAATGTCACAGAACTCGGTGGTCTTTATAACACGGGTCGTTATAAAAGCTAAGCCCCATGTGAGAAAAGTTGCTGTAACAACATCATAGCACCTTTGCTTCAATTTCAAAAGAGAAAAAGGCAATGGTAAAAAGCTTTAATAATAGACTGTGTTTTTATAGGCAACCAATTAGCAGATTAATGAGCCATTTAAATTTCTTTACTTAAAACCAATATTCAAGAAAGATGAACCCCAGATGCAGCCTCTCACACTGACCCACATAACTAAGGACAAATAAACGATGAACCCCAGATGCAGCCTCTCACACTGACCCACAAACTAGGAACACATGAAGCCAACGGTGCGCCCCGTCAGTGTGCTGCGGTGTGTGTCCACAAGACGAGCCCCCCGCCCCGAGCCCTGCCCCCGGCAAACAGATACATGATTGTGCACTGCGCGATGATACCATGAGGTGAGAACTTTGGTTCATGCAGTTGGCTGCCAGAGGCTGCACTCCAAAGCCGCAGCCCCGGCGCCGAAATCAGCCATGCTCCTTCCACAGCACCAGGTGGATGCTGTGGTCGGGCATGCTGGTGGCGAAGACCAGGCCCGTGTCGTTGTGCCCGTCCAGTCCATTCAGCCAGGATGCTTCACCTGCCAGGAAGCTGGAGCCCCTCTTGGACTTCCTATACTCGGGGAGAGGCCAGCGGCTCATCAGGCTCTCTGTCCGCAGGTCCAGGATGTACAGGTACCGGTTGTCAAACAGCAGGGCGAAGACGTCCCCAAAGCCAAGCAGCGCCAGGTTCGCCATCTCAGGAGTCCTGATGACCCTGCGAGGGCGAGAGCGGAGACGCGTGAGCCAGCGCGGGGGCGGGGCGCACCTGTCCATGCACAGTCTATGTCGCCTTTTCTGCAGACACTGAAAACCAACACAGGGGACTTTCTGACGGTCCAACGCTGAGGGCTCCACGATGCCACGGCAGGTGGCACAAGTTCGATGCTCAGTTGGGGAAGTAAGATCCTCCATCCCGTGAGCAGTGCAGTCAAAGAAAAAAAACCAATACAAAATTCAAGCAAATTTAAAACTAAATGAAACTTTCTTATAAAAAGGAAACTATGAGGACATAAAGCTCACCCTATTTTGGAAAAAAGGTGTGGGAAAAGAACCCTTCATAATAACATAACACAGGCATATAAGGAAATGAACATTTATAAAAGCATAAAATGCCCATCTAAGCTGGAAAGGATCTTTCAGATTATGTCATTTAATATTTTCATTTCTAAGATGTGAAAACTAAAGACCAGCCAGGGTAAATACTTTGGCTAAGGATTTACAACTAGCTAGGTACTAGTCAGAGGAGAGTCTGATACTCAATTCTTACCGCTGGGTAGAAACTGCTATATATCATCCCTTGCTTCCTGAACCCCTCAGATACCAGAATCTGAGGATGCTCGAGTCCCTTAGCTACAACGGCGCAGCACGGCCAGCCCTCCACGGTCACAGACGCAGAGCACACAGGTGTGGAGCGCGACTGCACTGGCTGAGGGGAACCCCCCATGCCCAGAAAGAAGACGGAGAATCAAGGGATTTGGTGCTGCTCTGCTCTGCAGGTGGCAAACAGGTTCCGCTCAACATAGTCTAGAGGCTGAAAATATAAAGTTTCCCAAATAATTCGGAAACATTCAATAACAGCAGATTCATAGTAAGTTAGAGAAAACTGGGAGAGTAGGGAGGACGGCTTTAAGCTTCTCAGGTTGGCAGGTCACAGAGCTCTGATGGCAGAGGCATGGCAGGGAGAGACCCTGCTGAAGAGGAACACGGAACAGCTCTCAGTCTCTGCACACTCAGTAAGGGGAACCGTCACTGTTCTCTCCGGAAGCCTGCGAGAAGAGCGACAGGACACAGATATACAAATTCTGTGGTGACTGTATGCTTGAGCCCAGGTGACAGCCCAGTTAGCGCTACATCCTAACAAGGACACCACCAACTAGGGTGTGCAAGATGTTAGCAGAGGGGACAGGGCCTGGTAACCAGGACCACCGCGGGACAGCTGAAGAGTGTGAGCTGGAGACGGGAAGAGAAACACCACAATCCTCACCTTTCAAGAGTGAGGGGTGTGTGAGAGGCCCCGCACGAGGGGCCCCAGCAGCAGAGAGCTCGAAGGGAAAGAGCAGGACACAGAACCAGACTCCAGTCTGGGACCAGGAAGGGAGGGGGACTCAGCACGAAGACAAAGATCTGTCCCTCACACTCGTCAGGTCCAAAACTAAACTTCGCAGCCAGACCAGTTTCTCTTCGTCTCCCTGCTTGCTCACTCACCCAACCACTCAAGACAGGAGACGTGGCAGCCATCCAACCCTAAAACCATAAATCCAATCACCAAGGTCTATTGGTTTTATCTCAATTTTCCTTTGAGGTTTTCACTACGACCTGAATGGCCACAGTTCTGATCTAGGACATCACCTGCTGCCTGCACTACTGCCCAGAGTTTTCAACTGGTCTCCCCACTCTGCTCTTGGACGCTGTCAATCATTTAACCTCACACTTAAATTTACACCTGTTACCACCTGACTCAAACTCTGAACCCCTCCCGTGGCTCTCCACTGCACTCCCATCCACCACACTGGCCTTCTCTCAGTTACTCCAGCACACCAGGCTCCTGTGGGCTCAGGGCCTCTCAGCAGACTGCATGCTCGGGCCGCCATGTTCCTCACCTCACACCTGCACCCCCAGCACTTAGCTACATGCATCTCCTCACCCCTTACAGCCTGGCCTGACCCTCCTCCTCAAAGCTCTCCTTTACTTCTCAGACTAGGTCTCAGAGTACCCCATTCCACGCTGCTCTTCTCCCAACCATTAACACATCTGCATGTAGTCAGCTGTTTAATGTCAGCCTTCCCTGTTCCGTCATGTCTACAAGTTTGGTAAGTACTTCTGCTGGTTCCCAGCGTACATCACGGTGCCTGACACACAGCTTAGATAAGTAAGTATCTGCTAGTGACTACAGCAGTGGTGCAGTGAGCACGGGAAAACATAAATTCCTACAAGACAGGGTCAAAGAAGACCGGGGAAAGCAGGAGAGTCTAGTAAGTCCCACATCACTGATACAAGCAGAAAATGACCAGAAACTTAGAAAACTGAGTGGCTAGGGGATCAGACTTGAGGCTGGGAAGGATGAAAGTGAAAGTCACTCAATTGTGTGGGACTCTTTGCAACCCCATGGACTACCCGGTCCATGGAATTCTACAGGCCAGAACACTGGAGTGGGCAGCCATCTTCCCAACCCAGGGATCAAACCCAGGTCTCCCACATTGCAGATGGATTTTTTATCAGCTGAGCCACAAAGGAAGCCCAAGAATCCTGGAGTGGGTAGCCTATCCCTTCTCCAGGGGATCTTCCCGACCCAGAAAATTGAACCAGAGTCTCCTGCATTGCAGGCGGATTCTTTGCCAGCTGAGGTACTAGGGAAGCTCTAAACTGATTTCAAAGACTCAAGCGCAAACATGCTGCAGGACTGAACACAGGTCTTGACAGGCTCACAGCACCCTGGACTTTGATTACTTTAGGACTGCAAACAGACATCCCTGCAGTGCAGCCTGCGCCCGTGAACCTGCACACCGCTGCCTGCTATACCGATAACCTCGCTCAACACACGGCACCGCATCCTAGCTTTCACAGAGCAACGCGCTGCTGTTGCCGCTTTCTGTCTTTTCAGTTAGCATCAAAGTGTAAGGAGCACAACTGAGTACTGGCAACTGAGGCCACAGTCACATAACTGTTCAACCCCTTGAAGAGAGATTGTTTTATTCATGTGAGGAAGAGGGGGGAAGTAAGAGGCAAAATATCCCCTTTTCAAAAAAAAAAAAATCTGAACTTAGCACTTGTAAGCAGCAAACAATTGTGCAAGTTTATTGGTTACAGTTAGCATATCCAAACAGCAAAAACTAACAGAACTTCTCATCTGGAATTTGGACTCCACCTGCTATTCTGAGTAAGAGGCACACAGGAGAAAAGCAGGCGTAGGATCAAATGAAACCTTTACAGACTCTAAGCATTAAAAAGATTACGACAACCTTTCTTCCACCCTGCCTTAGCACCCCTCTCTTCCAAACTTTAGTTCAAACAAAAGCATTAGTAAACTAGCAAAGGTCTGGTTTTCCCAGGGTGACTGCAGTCGTATCTGGGGAAAGTGGTTGCGGAGCCCGCGCAGATACCAAAATGCATGGCTGCTCAAGTCCTTCGGCAGAATGTTGCCACATCTGCATATAACCTATACACACCCTCCCATGTGCTCAAATCATCTCCAGGTTACTTGTACCCAAGACAATGTAAATACTATGAAAACAGCTGCTGATGCACGGCAAATTCAAAATTTTGCTTTTTGGAACTTTCTGAAAATTAAAAAAAATTTTCCATCCTCATTTGGTTGATTCTGTGGGTGCAAAAGCCATGGCCAACCGTACTTGAATTTCTTACTTTGCAAAGAATCAAGTTCTTTCAAAAGTTCCTTCTCTCTGGCTTGCTGCTACCGTGGGCATATGTCTGCTGGATGATCCAGCCATGGATGGATGGACGGATGGAGGGGTAGGTGGGTGCTGGGCTAGGTTGAGTTGTGAGATGTTTGGCCAGGCCCCTAACCTCTCTCAGCTTCAGTTCCCCAACCTGAAAATGAAGAGCTTGAACTAATGTTTTCTAGGATCTGTTCTAGTCTGTTTTGTCTGCATGCAGTTATCAATTATTTCTAGAAACTATACTGAGAGCTTGGAAATCTAAATGGTTAGAAATGCAGATCTAAGAAAAACAAACAAACAAACAGTAGTAGTGTATGTCTGACTCCAGGAAGACAATAATGAAGCTGTAACTTTACAACCAAAGATGGGTTGTCAGCTGCTGGCTAACAGGATCAGATCCGAGTTGACCTCTAAACAGTCACACATAAAAACAATGAAGATAAAATGTTCAGTTTCTGTCTCCAGGCAGTCCCTTCTGAAGCACACTATGGAACACTAATTCTGTGAGCTGTCAACAGGTACTCCTCCAAGCAAGGGCACCAGGCACAGTGTGTGTGAAGTCACAGGTGTCTTTATGTAGCAGGACTTCTCAGATGTATTGATGATACAGACTGTCAGGTCCTGAGCTAGATCCTCATTCAGTTCGGTCGCTCAGTCTTGTCCGACTCTTTGCGACCCATGGACTGCAGCACGCCAGGCTTCCCTGTTCATCACCCACTCCCGGAGTTTACTCAAACTCATGTCCAGCCAGTCGGTGATGCCATCCAACCACCTCATCCTCTGTCGTCCCCTTCTTCTCCCGTCTTCAGTATTTCCCAGCATCAGGGTCTGTTCCAATGAGTCAGTTCTTTCTATCATGTTGCCAAAGTACTGGAGCTTGAGCTTGACCTTCAGTATCAGTCCTTCCAATTAATATTCAGGACTGATTTAATTTAGGACTGATCCTCATTAGAAGCAATTAATTTAATCTCTACAGGTGAGACAATTCAGGCACAGAGGGTTAAAAAACTTACATAAAATCACCCAGTTCATAAAAAACAGAACTAGGTCTTAAAGCAAGGTTTATCTATCACCAAAGTAAGTTCTCTTAAACACCACAAAGCACTGGTTTCTCGCAGCCTCCAATATGCTACCAGATACTGCCATCTCCAAGAGGGGTCTATGGTATGCAGTGAATCACAAAACTGTCTATAGGCTTCTATTTTGTTGGAGAGAAAGCCTGCTAGCTGTAACCTTCTCTAAGTACCTCTGTCTTTCTACTAGTCAACAGAAGGTCACTTGATCCCTCAATGCACAGCTTCAAATGACCAGGAAGTAGAACTTAAAATATTACAACTAGAGGAAATGTGAAAGATCTTTCCATCCAAACTCTTCATTTTCCAGAAAAACTGGCAGGAGAATCCAGACATCCTGAAAGGGGAAATTAACTCAGAGTTAAGAAGTGGGGCTGGGCTTGTCCGGTGGTGCAGTGGCAAAGAATCCACCTGCCAATGCAGAAGACTCAAGAGACATGGGTCTGATCCCTGGGTTGGGAAGATCCTTAGAGGAGGAAATGACAACCCACTCCAGTATTCCTGCCTGGAGAATTCCATGGACAGAGGAGCCTGGTGGGCTATGGTCCATGGGGTCTCAAAGAGTCAGATGTGACTGGGCAGATAGCACATAAGAAGAGGAATTAGAAGCTAGAGTCTCTACATTCTAACATATAACTCTTTCTAATTTAATTACTGCCTTTGAAATATTTTTGTGTGAGATTTAGCACAGAATCATTCACAGCTGATGTGAGTAAACATTTCCCCAAAGCAAGTTATTAACTAGTTTATCCAAATACTGTTCTGTCTTTATTATTAAAATAACTGAGACAGACTGTTAACGGTAAAGGCCCAAGGAAATATTACCTGAGAATATCATAACTGGCGAAGTCCCACTGGTAGAGGCCCAGTGCCGAACTACAGACAATGTATTTGCCATCAAAATGAAGTCTTGGCTGCAGGCAGATACTTCTATCCTCAGAGACAGACAACGTCTTTAAGCACTTACAGTTAATTTCTCTCCCAATTGGCCAAATCTACAGAAAAAGGAAAATTAGGAAAGATGATAGATCACATCACCATAGAAAAACCTGTTTTTAAACAATGTGGCTTGTGTTTGCTTAAGTCAGAAACAAAGTGGAGTAAACTGCAACTTGCAAATTAAAAATCTATAATTTATATGCTTCCCTGCCTCCCCCTTCAAGCTTCATATACCCCTGGTTATCTTAAATGTTTGCCAGTAGCATAGTGAAGTTTTTAAAAAGTCAAGTGTTACTGCATTGTAGCTTTTTTGAAATCTAAGTTTAACTTTTTCCGAGTTACCTGTCTTATTTATAAGACCAAACAAGTTTCTTATCCTTCATGAGAACAGTGCCAAGTATCAAACATTTTGATTAGCCTTCAGCTCAGGTTTTAATTTCTATTAAATGCTAACATTCTTCTGATTTGTTTTTGTATCTTTCATAATCATATCTGATCCTGCTGCATTAATGACAGTTACCCATAAAGATTTTTTAAAAGGGTATTTTGCATATCACTACCTTCTGTTTCTTTTCTCCTGGGAAGCTGCTTTGAGGCCACAGGCAGCACCTGAACCACAGCCTGGAGAGCCCCTCGCCCTGCCCGTCTCTGACCGCCTCAACTGCACTCTGCCTCCCCCCAGCCTTGTATTCGAGGCCAAGTCACGGAAGACGGATGTGCCAACAGCAGTTTGATCCAACAGGCTGCTCACAGTGTTGTGTGAGCACAGGCATGCCTGAGAGTACCACAGTAAAGCAAATATCACACACACACAAAAAAGTGGAGTAAACTGGAGACCATAGGCTGATCGCTGAGACATGGGTTCAAATTCTTATTTGGTACCTATGTGTTGTGTAATCTCAGGTAAAATATTCAACCTCTTCTGAACCCAAGTTCCTGCAATGAAGATAGTTAGTGCCTACCACATGGAATGTTTTAGAAGATGCAATAAAAGTATAAGTCAGAGTGCTCTGTAAACTTCTTGCAAATTGCTTTTATTATTATACAAATAAATGTTTATGTTTTCATACTTCAAATCTAAGAATGGAGAAGGGTAGCAGATGTATGTCTTAAGAAAATGGTAAGAATGCATTGAAGATAAATTTCTGTGGATTTTTTTTCCCCCTTCATTTATAAATCAGAGTTAGAAACTGCCTAGAACATGGAGAAAATGAATTAAGTCTCTTTCCAATGGGTTTAAGAGGGCTTAGACTGAAGACATTCCTACCTCCCTTGAAATATTTCCCTGTGCCACACTCTTTCATGAAGCAAATTAATCAAGGAAAAAAAAACCTCACCTTGATCTCATATTTGTCTGCACTTAAGAGGATGTAGTCTCCAGGGCTGTGCAAGAGAGACTTGACTTTGCACTTCTGCAAGACCACCTAGAAATAATACATACCCCTGTTACAGAAAGACCCTTTTAGTACTATATACATCCCTTTTAAGTAAAATATGAAAAAAGGCTCAAAATGATATGGTATGTGGGTAATCTATAACTCTACGTTATCTGTAACTCAAGTTAACCTTTACTAAGAGTTTTATTATAACGAGATTCTCTAGGCTATCAGCAAGATCTAAAAGTGTCTAATACTGGCAGCATTTACTCTTAGCTTTGGTCTGGAAGCAAACATTAGGACTGATTTTTAAAATCATAAAATGATAAAGAATAGGAAAGAAAAAAATCCATATACATAATAGGTACAAATGACTTGTTTTCATAAGTACGTGTGTCATAAGGAGAAAAGACATTCTACTTGTGACCAGAATCTGTCATATGCTGACTTTGCAACCTTGGGCGGGACCATCTAAATTCTTCATCTCTGTTTCCTCATCTTTAAAAACAGGGGTTGGGGCACCTATTATCTCAGATAATCACACTGAAAATGAAATAAAACAATGAAAATAAATGTAATAGAAGCTAAAATCCCATGAGCACTTGGGATAATCTGTAAACACTAGGTTCTGGGTATTTTACCATTAAATCAGCATAAAGTGAGAAGGCAGGCCAGGCTCACTCACTCAGAAGCCTGGGTTGCAGATACAAATGAAACTTGCGGGGAGCTGCCCCATCACCTCATTTAATATTCACAAGAACAAAGAGCAGATGATGAAACTCAGGCCCTCCCCTGAAGGGAAGTCACTCGTCTAAGACATTACAGTCAGGTCCTAGCCCCAAATCCACTGTTTTTTAACCAACACTAAATTGTCTTACATAACTTTTCTATTTAAAACTGAATATGCCCAGGACAGATTTTTCTTTCCAGGTTTTGGTTTTTTTAAGTGTGGTAAAATACACAGAACATAAAATGTAGAATCTTAACCATTTTTTAGTGTACAGTTCAGTGGTATTACTGGTCTTCTCACACAATCACCCACCCCACCCAGTCTAAAAGCCACTAGTCATCTTTCTCCTTGGTTCCCTGTAAGTTCAGCTGGCTTTGCTGCAAAGACACAGCCTCGGATGTGCCCTTCTCCTTGCATAGTGCCGTCCACGTCCGAGCCGGGGTCTCTTCTGCTTGGACTACTGCCAAAGTCTAACTGGCCACCGAGCATCCACCTGTGTTCCCCACTCGAATCCACTTTTTCACTCAGCAGTTATTTTCTTAAAACATGAATCTCAGATGTATAGAACAGACTTGTGGACTCTGGGAGAAGGCGAGGGTGGGATGTTTCAAGAGAACAGCATTGAAACATGTATATTATCTAGGGTGAAACAGATCACCAGCCCAGGTTGGGTGCATGAGACAAGTGCTCGGGCCTGGTGCACTGGGAAGACCCAGAGGGATCGGGTGGAGAGGGAGGTGGGAGGGGGGACCGGGATGGGGAATACAGGTAAATCCATGGCTAATTCATTTCAATGTATGACAAAAACTACTGCAATGATGTAAAGTAATTAGTCTCCAACTAATAAAAATAAATGGAAAAAAAAAAAAAAAACATGGATCACACCAGACTCTTGCTCAGAACTCATCAGTTGCTTGCTACTACACTTAGAATCATACAAAATCCTTAGTAAGGTCCAGTAAAGCACGCCGAACGGCCCCTGCTCCCACACTTCCCCCAGCTGCAGCTCCGCTCCCACACCTCCCCCACCCGCAGCTCTGCTTCGCCGCCCTTCCAGGGCATCAGGCTATGAAACATTCTGGTTCTTTCCCACCCCAGGGCCTGTGCACACCCCGCACCCTCTGAAACACTCCTCTGCTCTTTACGCAGCTACCTCCAATTCATTCTTCATATCTGGCACCTTTTCTAAAAGCTTTCCTTCAATCAAATTAAATCAGACACTTTCCTAGACTTTCTCAGAGAACACTACACTCTTCCTCCATTAGCACTTAAGACAATTTGTGACTATGTATTTATCTGTGAGATTACTGATTAATAACTATTTCCCCTACTAAACTAACGCTCGTGTTAGGCCTGGGTCTGTTTTGCTCACTCATGTATATTCAGCGCCTCACAGAACAGCACCATAGGCTCGAGAACAGTGTTTCTCCAGGGCACTTCCATTAACATGGCTTTTGATATTCACAGCAATTCTTTTCTTTAAAACTAGAAGATATCACAATATTCTTTAAAAGATGCTGTAAATTTTTGTTTCATTTCTTCCAAGATTTTCTTCATCCTCCGTCCTTCCTGCTCTTTCTTCACATTAAAAAAGCAAAAAAATGAGTTTATCCATTTCTCCCACTCACCACATCCCACCCTCTGCTTCTGACAACCACCAATCTGTTCTATCTATGAACTTGGCTCCCCCCCACCTCCCATACAGTCCACTTTTACGAGATTGTATGGTATTTGCCTTTCTTTGACTTATTTCACTTACATAATGTCCTTGAGGTCCATTCATGTTATCATAAATCATTAACATTTCACTTTTTTATGGTTAAATAATATTTCAATGTATATATACATCTATCCACCCATCAATGAACACTCTGGTTGTTTCTGTATCTTGACTATTCTAGACAATACTGTAATGAACATGGGGATGCATGCATCTTTCTGAGTTTTCAATTTCTTTGGATAGATATCCAGAAGGGGAATCACTGGATCATGTGGAAGTTTTCTCATTTTTTGAGGAACCTCCAAACTGTTTTTCACAGTGGCTGTACCAATTTACATTCCCCTAAAAGTGAACAAAGTTCCTTTTTTCTCCACAACCTCACCAACAATGTGCTATTTCTTGTCTTTTTGGTAATAGCCATTCTAACTGGTATGAGGTGATATCTCATAGTGGTTCTGATTTACATCTGCATTTCCCTGATGATTTTGTTGAACATCTTCTCATTTACTTCTTAGTTGCTGTTTTCATCTATACATCTTCTTTGGGAAAATGTCTGTTCAGATCTGCCCATTTTTTAATTAGACTGTTTGGTTTTTGCTCTTAACTTGTGTGATTTATCTGTTTTGGACACTAGCCCATGACCTATGATTTGTAAATATTTTCTCCCATTCAGTAGGTTGCCTCTTGATTTTGGTGACAGTTTCTTGTGCTGTGCAAAAGTTTTTTATTTAGTATGATGCAGTCCCACTTTATTCTTGTTTGTTTTTTTATTTCTTGTTTCTTTGTTTCTTTATTCTTTCTTCCTTGTTGCCAGATTCAAAAAATCACTGCCAAAACCTATGTCAAGATGTTCACTATGTTTTCTTCTAGGAGTTTTATGATTTCAGGTGTGTTAAGTCTTTAATCAATTTTTAGTTAATTTCTATGTATGGTTTAAGACAGTGGTTCACTTTCATCCTTTTGATGTGGCTGTTCAGTTTTCCCAACAACATTTATGGAAGAGACTGTCCGTCCTCCACCATATATTCTTGGCTCCTTTGTCGTAATTGAATTGACCATAGACACAGGGTTTATTTCTGGGCTCTCAATTCTGTTCCATTGATCTAAGCATCTGTTCTGCTAACATCACATTGCTTTAATTACTGTATCTCTGTCACACAGTTTGAAAGCATGATGCCTGCAGTTTTGTGCTTTTTCAAGGGTTTTTTTTTTCGTGGTTCCATACGAATTTTAGGATTATTTGTCTTATTTCCTTGAAACATATCATTGGAATTTTGATGCAGACTGCACTGAATCTATAGGTTGCTTTGGAAAGTATGGACATTTGATTGTTCAAATCTGTGAGCATGAAACAACTCTCCATTTATTTGTCTACTTCAATTTCCTTCACTAATGTCTCACGGTTTTCAATACACAGGTCTTCCTGTTATATACTGATTAAGTTTATTCCTAGGTTATTTCAATCTTTTTGATGCAACTGTATATGGGACTGTTTTTTCTTTACTTCTTTTTCTGACAGTTCTTTATTAGTGTACAGAAATGCAAGAGATTTTTATATAGATTTTATATCTTGCAATTTGACATGTTTTAGTTCTAACAGATTTCTTATGGCATCATCAAAGTATCACGCATTTGCAAATACTGAGAGTTTTACCTCTTCCTTTCCAACATGGATGCCTTTTTTCTTTTTCTGCTCTGGCTACAACTTCCAATTACATGTTGAATAAAAGTGGCTAGAAACCAGCAGAATGTCCTTTTAAAGAGTCTGCACATTTCTCTCTGTTCCACTTCCAGCAAGTGCTTTCTTTTTCAGAATGAAAATTGCTTTTCTGATTTAAAAAGAAATATGCTTATCTTAAAGGGAAAAAAGTGCTCACAACTTCAGAAGAAATAATTACCTTCAACATTTCAGTGCAGAAACACATCCAGAAACTATCATCATACTCTACGTAGTTTCTGATATAACCTGTTTTATTCCCTCCCTCTATCCACCTGATATATTGTGAGCATCTTCCCATGTCCATAGCCATTCGTTCACTAATTAACTGAGCGTCTTTCACATGCTGGTCACCGCTGTACGCCACCATGGCTCGGGGTTGCATCTATCCCACCTTATGACTCATCTACCACTCATGAGTCAGCATGTACCATCCTCCAACCTGCCCCCAGCTTCCCCTCGGCAAGAGTGATGTCAACATCAGTGAGTCTTCCTACCTTGGTGACCCATTCTGTGTGCCCGGTGAGAGTGTTCAGGCATGTCCCAGCAGATAAAGCCCATACTTTCACGGTGAAGTCTGCAGAGCCACTCACCAAGATGTCCAGTTCGTCATTGTAGTCGACACTAAACACTAGTGTACACAACACACACAAAGTTAAAATATGCCTTTGCCTGTGGGTCTTTTATAATAGAGTTCAATAACACTTATTCTTCCTAGCTGTCCAAGTGTGTAATTTCTTAACCAGAACTACTATAAGAAGGGTGCTTTCTCGACTAGCAATTTTTTGCTTAAAAAAATACACCCATTTCAAAATTCTCATTATAGATTATCCTAAGGATGGAAAGTCCCTGGAATATACAATCTCTTCCTTTTGTTCTAGCTTCAGAGTCAGAGGCAAACAAGTGTAGGAGATCCTGGCATTTCTTCTCAGGACTGAGAAGAAACACTGAACATAGGTGGACCTACTGAGATTTGTACTATTTACTGCAGTAAGATAAAATGTCAGGACTATTCATTCTCAAGAAAAGTCAGTATAATGAGAAAAACAAAGCAAAGATCTTAAGTTCAGACTGAGCCATTCTCTCAAACTGTCTGATTTTCTTCAGACCTATATCCCTGGCACCTAAAACAGTGCCTGAGTATAACAAGTACTTGTTTTCAAATGCCTGTCAAGCTCTAAACAGATACCAGGGACCCAGAGATGAAGACACTGCTCTTTAAGGAACTCTAAGTGAGGGGTGGAGAAGGAAGTCCAAAACAAAAGTAAATGTTCACCTCTTGCTAGAAAAACATCAAGAAGAAAGACTAACTCTGCCCAGGGGTATCAGGGAGGACTTCAGGGAGGAGGCGATACTGGAGGTGGGCCCTAAAGGATGAGTAGAATTTATCAAGAAAAGAAAGAGAATACTGCAGGTAGAAGGAACAGCAAAGGCATGGAGTTAGGAAAAGCCACAGCAATGTCTTGGGAACATTAAGGAGGAAATTTTTTAGAACCGGGTTCTCAAAGCTGACCAAGTATAAAATCAGCTGGAACAGGTGCAATCCTTGACACTGTGGAATGTTACACTCAGTTTGATACATAAGCTCCATATTAAATCATGTATCTTCAAATATTAATGACTATAAACAAGAGGCAGCAGACTGAAGAAGAATGTACAGGATGACAAACAAAATGGGGGGTGTGGATTCGGTGGGGTTTATTGTTGTTTTTTTTTGGGGGGGGGCCATAAAACAGCTAAATTTACTTTAAAGAATTACTGAACACCATGCAAGGAACTCAGGACCTAAGGGTGAGTAAGACAGGTGGGATCCCTGTCCTTCTAGAGCTGACAGGTGGGTGGGGGAACCAGTTACCATACTCACTTCTATAATGGGTGTTACACAGGTTACTAGGAAACCTATAGCAGAGAAACTCAGCCTGTTTAGGGTGTCCAGGAAGGAGCTCATAAATGTGATGCTCAAGAGCACAGACTGTGACTCTCAGAAGCTAATGCAGTGGGTGATGTGGGTGGGGGGTGGGGTGGGGAGGCGGAGGAGAAGGGAACTAGCTCACATGATTTCTGCACAAAGCTCCAGGATACAATGAAGCAGAGGAGACGCTCTGATCAAAAGGCTTCGTTCAAATGACCAGTTTTACAAACTAAGGCTGCTGCAACCTTATTAGGAAATATTGAGGTATCTCCTTTTCATCTTGTCCCTCAACAGTGAGATTATTATCAACCAAGCTCCAATCTGATGTAATCTGTGTAGTCACTCCTAAGGATTTCCAGTCCTAATTCTACAAATAAAGTGGACTAAATTTACATTTATTCAATCTGGAGGTATAGAATTTGGTCAAAACAAAGGAGGCCGACTGTGCAAACAGGAAATAAATAGGAGAAAAGAACTGCCTCTCCTAGCCTAAGGGTATAAGGTCATTATGAGTTAAAAAATGGGCCAAGGAGAAGCAAAATTTGAGGTAAAATTGTTGAATAAAGAGATTAACTGTACTGACTGGAAAAGAAGTAGGGGGAAAGACAGATTAAATAAAAAAAAAAACCCAAAAGATGGATCACATTCTTGGCCCCTGGCTTTAAGCAATGTGGCTAAAGGAACCGGGAAAGCCGTGAAGAGAGGCGACCCACCCGCCCCCGTGTGCCCCCGGAAGTGCTGGGTCCTGGCTCCGGAGCTCCATTCCCAGCAGGCCACGGTGTTGTCAAAGGAGCCTGTCACAAGCTTCTGCTCATCAAACTTCACCGCAGCACAAGTGTGCGTCTGGATGCCATAAACACATTGCCCTGTGCTCACATCCCACAGTTTTGCAGACAAGTCATCTGACCCTTCAAGAGAAAAACAGGGAGGTTAGTAAGAAGACAAACACTCTAAAGAGGTGGAATCAGTCCCCAAAGATGGCTTCCTTAAAGGAGAACCTTAACCTCCTCCAGCACTCCCACTTAATAGCTTGGGGAAACCAAAGCGAGAGAGAGGAACACAGCCTGTTCTGCATCGCCAAAATAGCGTTAGCAGCCCTGGGACTGACTCCAAGCCTTGGTTTAGTCCTTTTCCCTAAACGCTCCAGGTTACAGAGCCGTGTTAGACTGGAGCATCCCTTGGTGCTTCCACTTGTAAATTTCCCTAAATCTCTGGCTATCATGAGCTCTCTGACTTAAGCTTAAAATGATGGGTATTACCTATCACTGCATGTGTACACTTGCCTGCCTGTCCATTATCCAACAACTGAACAAACAAAGAACGCTGAAATAGTAAAGCTGTAGGCTGGAACATGCTCCACTCTAAGGCAAGTCAAAGACAAGCCCCGATCACTGGTTAACTTCTACAAAGGCTAACCGCTAATTTCTTGAGCCATCCCAAAATGTGTGAAGGAACTTCAAAGAAAATAAGACATAAACTATTCCCAGACATTTACAACAATTCAGCAAAGGGCTTGGAAAGTCTCTGAAGATTATGCAGGATAAAAGGCAGGTTTTACTTCTGCCTCTGATGAAAATTGTGTAACAATTCACAACATTACTGTTTAGTAACCAAGTCACGTCTGACTCTTTGTGGCCCCATGGACTGTAGCCCAGCAGGCTCCTCTGTCCATGGCATTTCCCAGGCAAGAATACTGGAGTGGGTTGCCATTTCCTCCTCCGGGGAATCTTCCAGACCCAGGGATTGAACCCGTGTCTCCCGCATTGCAGACAGATTCTCTACCACTGAGCCACTGGGGAAACTGCATTTAAAATCCTAGTGATTAATTCATGTTTCACAATTTACCTTAATAAAATATTAAGAACTAACAAAGTCATTTTGAAGATACATAAATGTAATTCCTGTAATAAAGACATGGTATCTTGGAAAAGCACCAACTGATCAGTTTTCAAAAAGCTTAAATGACTAAATAAAGCCAGCCACAATTCCACCTTTAAGGACTGATCAAGAGCCACTGTTTCAGAAAATGGAAAAATAGCTATCAGTTATGAAAGAGCAGAGCAGAAATTTCACCCCTGGAAAACCCTATGAGAGCATACTGAAATGAAGACTCTATTTGTTGTTATTTTACTAATTAGGGATTCAGTTTCCTTTCTATAAAATGAAAGGTGAGACTTGGCTGGTGGTTCTCAATGGCATATGAGGCATCAGAATCAACTGGAAAGCTTTATCAAGACATACATGCTAGGCCTTATCTTCAGAGATTCTAACTCAGAACACCCGAGGCAGGAGCCAATAATTATAAAAACTTGCCAGGTGAACTTATTAGGAATGCATTGAGAACCAATGATCTAAGAACAATATTATCCGATAGAAAGATAGGACAAGCCAGGTATGCAATGTAAATTTTTCTAATATTTACTTTAAAAAGTAAAAAAAAGGGGAAATAATTTAATTTTTAACTCAGTATGCCAAAAAAACCCATTATCAGCCAATGTATTAATGAAATGGCTTACATTCTAAGTCTTCAAATCGCAGCAAGGACCCCCTATCTCACACCTCGGTTTGAGTGAGCTGTGTTTCAGGCGCGCTGGGAGGCTCTGCCACAGTGGGCAGCACAGCTCCGGACAGCCTTGAAGGTCCTCTCAGAGCTTTGGCAGAGTCAGCATTTTGTGGCTCTATTTCTAGGAAGCTAAAGCAGGAAAAGAAATCTTGTTTGGTCCTAACTGAGCTTGGTTCTGATTTACTGCCAGTGTTTCCCAGGGTCGCCTTCATTCATTCAACCCATATTTGGAGAACTTTTGTGTCAGGCAGGGATCCTGCTCTTGTGGCGCTTGGTCTTCCAAGGAAGACAGGAAGGCCAAACAAGCAGTGACAACTCAGTGAAGTGGCGGGCGGCACAAAAGCCCACAGCAGATGCGAGGAGGGGATGAAAGGAGAAAGCACCCCAGATGAAGTTCCGCTGCACTCCTCAACATCAAGGTGTTCCACAGACACGCTCAGGAGAAGGCACGCCTGGCCCCACACCATACACTCTGGTCTGCTGTGAAGCCAGGCCTTGGCGTAGGACTGTCTGAAGAAGGAATTTCATGGCTTAAATACCCAAACTTGGGACTTCCCTGGAGGCTCAGTGGTTAAGACTATGAGCTCCCAATGCCAGTGGCACAGGTTCAGTCACTGGTCACGGAACTAAGACCTCGCATGCCACATGGTACCACCAAAAATAAATAAAAAATTAAAAAATTTTTTCAATATTAACAAGTTGAAATCTAAACAATGAATACAGTGATCAGCACCCTCTCCCCAATCAAAAAAATAAAATATAAACAGTATGTGCCAGAGCTTAGCCAAACTTTTTCTGCAAAAGACTGGACAGTAAATATATTTAGTCTTCTGAAGCAACACAGCCTCTGGGGCAATTACTCCACTCTGCTGGATCTGGACCCTGCGGTCTGTGGTTTACCAATCCCTGGAATACAACTATTTAATTATTAAATACCTCTATTTATTATATAAATGTATGTGAACACGCATTAGGGTCGATTCATAAAGAACTCCTTGAACACATTCTATCAATGAAAACTATCTAGGAATTATTGATAATGCTTGTCAAAATGCACTGCCTCAAACAGGGACGCTGGCAACAGTTCAGTATGACTGGGAAGTAGAGGGAAAGGTCAGGATGGCAAACTGGGTTGGGAGGATGTTTAACTATGACCTCATCTGCATTTCTGAAAGACCTCTGTGGCAGCATCACAGGAGAAGATTTGAAGGGGAGCAAAGCTGGAAGCAGAAGGCCACTCATAAACTAGGCAGGAGGATACACAAAACGTGGCCTATACGTCAAAGAATTACTCTCCGGCCTCAAAAAGGAAGGAAATTCTGACACAGGCAACAACATGGACAAACCATGGAGACCATTCGCTAAGTGACCGTAAGTCAGTCACAGAAGAACAAATACTGCTCAGAGCCCACCCGTGAGGCACCTAGAGCGCTCCCGCTCAGAGAAAGCAGGTGACGGTTGCCTGGGGCTGTGGGAGGAGGGGAGAGGGTGTCAGTGATTAATGAATACGGTTTCAGTTTGAGAAGATGCAAAATGTTCTGGAGACAGACGATGGTGATGTCCGTGCAACATGAACGCACTTGATGGCACCGAACTGTGCATTTAAAATGGTTAAAATGGTAAATCTTCCATTTTCCCACAATTTGTTAAAAAAAGGGGGGGGGGGAGATTATCTAATGTTATATAGGAAAACATGAGGCCATTCAATTTTACACCATAATAAACATCAGCAAACAATCAGGTTGGGCTGCACTGTTTGACAAGGCAGAAACCTAACTTCAGCTGCTAAGCCTTCAGGAACCATTATCCTCTCCTCTCCTGCTTGTCCCAACACTCTCCATAGACTCTCATCTGCTGTGCTGACGAACCCAGCATGTTTTCACAGAGGTCACCAATGATACTGAGTAGAAAGCAAAGTGAACTAAATAAATGTAGACTATTTTTCATTACATGAAGGGGAAAAAAAACCCTCTCAATTCAGAAAACAGGATGAAAACAATCTTTGATATAAAAAAAGGTAAGCAGAAAAATGAGCTGTAACGCAAATAGAGTAAGCTGTCTTATCAAGCTAAGCTTAAATATTTAACTGGTAGAATCAGATCTCAGCTCTCAAAGCATCTGAGTCATTTGATTGTTAACCAACTGAATAAACATTTACTAGTGCCTCTTTAGGACAGGCAATTTTCATTCTCCTTTTCAAAACTGTTTATTACCCTCTGTCTCTTTACCTCTCCCCATTCTCTGAGTACACACTCAAAAGGAAGCACCCTACACTCTATGCATTCTTTTTCCTCTCCATCTCCTTTTAAAATTTCACTTGCAGCCACAGCTATGATGTGACTAACTCCTAAACCATTCTCTCTAGCCCTGAGCACTCTCGAAAGCTCTTACCCTGCATTTCCAAATATTATGGGACTCTCCACTTACATATCCAATGAGGTTCAGTTCATCCCACACTGAACTCCATCTATCCTCTTGAATTTATTCTCAGTTTCTACTCTTTTACTAGTACTATCTTCACATTTGTACATGCAGCTAGAAGACTGCAGTCATTTTTGAAATATCCCTATTCCTTGCCACACTCCCAATTCACTGCCAAATCCTGTCATTTCTATTTCAATAGCTACTCTTCCATTCAACTGCTACTTTCAGAAATCTCTACCCTTAGTATCCTGTATCTAGACCTATTTAAACTCATCTAAACTGCAATGGACTAGTAACTTAATTTGGAAGCTCGAGATCTGTCTGTTAAAAGGTATCAAAGGTATCAAAGGAATTAATACCTTCTGGGGGAACACTCTAGAAACGGCAGGGTGGCTTCACTGTCAGTGAGAGGACATTACTGGCCTCTACTCGGCAGAGACCAGGAATGCTGGACATACTGTATTGTCTGCAGTGCACAAAGAGAATCCTCTTGTATTCTGCATGACATTCTTGAAGGTCCTGCCAGATACTCAGAAGTGTAAAGCTTATTCTTAGTTACCTAAGGGTAACTAAGGGTTACCTAAGGGTGAGCCTCAGGTGGGGCTCTGAGGCTCTGGGTGAGCCTCAGGTCGGGCTCGAAGGTTCTGGGTGAGCCTCAGTCAGGTTACCTTTCTGATCACAGTGTTTACGTTCTTTGAGGAAAGAACAATCCTGATTCAGCTACGCGTGCTCACGCTGCCTATCACGCAGTCGGCATTTTATAAATAAATATCTACTGAACAGCACCAAACGCAGTAGGTTCCTCTCTCACCATTTCAGAAACGAGTAGAATTTCTGAAATTCTGAACACACATACAATCTCATACAATCATACAATCTATACCACGCTAATTTTTAGCATTATTAACCCTTTTGGTAAAACTGTTTCACTGCTTGCTTAAGGGCTAATCTGAGAGTCACTAAGTTTATCGCCAAATTCAGAATTTTCCAATTAAACAACAGTGAAAGACAAGCTCTTAAGTGACAAGGTGATACAAACACATGTTTAATTCTATTAACACCTATTTCTTGCTAGTAACAGTCCCAGGAATGCTGCTTTAAATAAATGCTTTGAATCATTTTCAACAGCACAATTTTCCATAATCAAAGTCAGTGAATTTAATCATACTAAAAATAAGATAGCATATAGACTCACCTGGAGAATAATCTTAAAATGCAGGGTTGTGTCCAGTCATTTGTAGATATTAACTGCCCAGGTAATTAGGGAATTCAAGTGAATGTATTCCATTCACTTCTGTGCCAAGTAACTGAGGTTTTATTGCATTTCAAAAGCCAAGTTTAACAAGACATTAAAAAAAAAAAAAAGCTGGAGCTAGTTCTGAAGATGAGACAACTACCAGTATTGACCCAAGTGTGAATAAGTGCCAAGTTCAAAGGCAATATGGCATCTTAATCTTAAAAAAAAAAAAAAACCTGCCAGTGATTATGAGGCAAAAAGAATATTGAAAAGTCATCACCACAGATGGGAAAGCAGATCAAGGTATAGAAGAACAGACGATGCTGTTCCAATAATCAGGCTTTTAATAGTACAGGGAAAATAACATGAGCATGGAGTAATCTCAGGATGACAAACAAATGAAATACCTTAAATGTTTATTTTATAAAACTGACCAAGTGTCGAGCATTTCAGAGAATGTCACCGCATTAAGAAAATGGACAACCTCAATGAATAAAGAAATTCAATTTTAAAACAGTCTTGAGAAATCATACCCCTCTTCACCATTAAAAATATTAAACTGAGTGTGGTAGGACTCTGAGGGAGAAGCAGGTTTACCTTAGACTTTGCTGTGGGCATAGCACCAATTCAATACATCTGGAAAGGACACTAAGAGGCGCTATAAATTCATTCATACTTATGGATCTGGTGATTCTGCTCTGAGGCTTCTGCCTCAAATGAATAATCCAAAGGGAAAAAATAATGCAGACAAAAATACCCATAAAAACAGAAACAACCTGAATATGCACTTGTATGGAAATGGCTAAATGACGATGATCCATTTACACAAAGAAACAGTGTGTGACAGCCATGTAGCTCAGGGAACACTCGTGTGTGTCAGAACGCATCCCGAGGAAGCAGCGCAGGACGGCCCCGTGACAGGCTCCTCTGTCCATGGAAATTTCCAGGCAAAAATACTGGAGTGGGCTGCCACTTCCTACTCCAGGGAATCTTCCTGACCCAGGGATCAAACTTGTGTCTCCTGCAGTGGCAGGCAGCTTCTTTAACACTGCGCCACCTGGGAAGCCCAATATTGTATATTATATATGATGGAAGCAAATAGCATTATGATCACTGATAAGATGATCTAGAACCTTGAGCCATTCTAAACTTTGCTTAGTCATTATACACAACACCTATCAACATGTACTGCCTGAAACATGGGCACTAACTATATAATCATATGTAGAAACACATGCCCATTATAATTGGAAGATGCACATAATTCTAACTTTAATCATTACATTTATAATAAAAAGTTACTTTACTTGTTATTGTTGTTTAGTTGCTAAGTCGTGTCTGACTTTTTCATGATCCAACAGACTATAGCCCGCCAGGCTCCTCTGTTCATGGGATTTCCCAGGCAAGAATACTGAAGTGGGTTGCCATTTCCTTCTCCAGGGGATCTTCTCGACTCAGAGATCAAACCCACATCTCCTGCATTGGCAGGCAAATTCTTTGCCACTGAGCAACCAGGGAAGCCCTGATTGCTGAGTTTTAAAATAGCCAACTATTTTCATTCCCATGCCCAAACTCTTCTAAATTCTTCTCAGAACCACAGGATCTTAGAGCAAGAGAAACAGCTCCCTTTGCATATTTTAAATACAAGGAAACAAACACAGAGAGGTTTCATAATCCTTTCAAAATGAATTATTTGCTAGGACTAGACAGCAACTTTTCTGTTTTTTCCCCAAAATCAGTGCTGATAGGAAAAAAAAAAAAATTAACCAACATGAAGGACTGTTTATGAAAGAAAAGTATAGAAAAACATAAGAGCTTTCAGATTCATCTCACATTTATAAGAATGTCTGGAGCTTTCTTCTCATAAAATTTTATAAAAATAATTGTCTTCTCAGAGTGAAAAAGGATAAAGGGGTGGTGGTGGGGAGAGGAGGAACCAGTCAGGGATGGAAGGATAATGCCATCATAGATATCTCAGAAAATTAACAACTGCCGTTCTGAAGCCTGAGGAATATTTTGTTCTGTCTGTAAGATTACACTCCACGAAACGTTAAAAAAAGAAAGGCCCAGGCTCTCTTACCTGTGCACAGAAGCCCATCTTTGTAGTAAAGTGCATACACTCTGGCACTGTGTCCAATTAAAGACGAGGTCTCAAAGGCTTCGTGGTCCTCCAGTTGCTTCATTCTCAAAATAGCCTTCAAATAAACCTTCTTCCAGTGCAAAGCGTCCTGAACAGAATCATCTATCTGCCAGCCCAAATTTTTACAGGCGGTCTGCCACACCTCTGTACAGGCACTTATCACCTTATTCCACTGTTTAGAGACGAGGCAGCACGTGAGTAAAGTCTGAGGGTCGAGCCATTTTAACAAATAAAAACTGAGCTCCAGGGGAAGGAGTTTGAGGAAGTCCCGCTTGAGCAGAGTCTCCAGGTTATTGGAGAGGTGTCTGAGCTGGACTGCCCCACTCAGACTAATCAGGTGATCCAGAGTTTCATTTTTCTGCAAGTCCGTCAGAGAAAGAAATGTAACAGAAATGTTATCAAGCCATGTCTCAAAGTCCTTTCTCTCCATAAGGTTATGGAAAAATTTACCTGTGGCACATCAAAATATTGTATTAGTTCTGCTCAAAAAGACCATTCAAGCAAGACTGCTAACAAATGAAGTATTAAAAATTAGTGCAAAAAACTGTTACAACTTTAGAGCTTAGTTACATTACAACTTTACAGTTAATACATTATATTTATCTAAAATAATTTCCATGCGCACAAAAGAAAACACATTTGAGAAAACATACTTTAACAAATCATGACCTCCAAAACATAACTCAGTGAAACTAATTTTGGTGTGTGTGACTTGCTCCTGAAGTCTATCACATGCTACATGCATCTTCACAGTAAAAGATTTACAAAGTATTCATTCTTTATGAAACAGTGTATTCTGTATAATAGAACCCCCATCAAAATCATCATGATACCATTTTCTTAAATACACTCTACTTGGGCACGAAAATCACAAAAATAAGCACAAGGATGTGACACCCAAAAAGTAAGTCTCTAGAGCAGCAACTTGAGACATCAGTTATCAGGCTACGTATAACCTGACCTGTTATAGGAATCACAGAACTGACTACTGGCTTTTGCAATAAATGTTTAGGCAAAAAGGTATGGGGAAGGAAAATAGCCAGACACAGTAAGTTATATGGCTCAGGTGTTCTGGTTCTTCCACTTCCTTTACGGCACTGCCTGTTAGAACATGAATTTCCAAAAGCCTTATCTAGCCTTACATGGTCTGTTTTAATAAGGTTAATATGAGCTGGAGACAACTCTTAACCTCATGTGTCCCCAAGAGCCATGAGGGTCCTGGAGGTGTGCACAAATAAGACAAATTAGTCATCGTGATGCTTACAAGATGCACCAAGAAAGGTACCATCTCCTTCACTTTGCACATGAGGAAGTTGCAGGTCAGAGGAGGTAAGTGATTTGCCTACAGCCAACAGGGCTATTAAAATAGCAACAGAAGGGGCTGAAAGCCAGTGCTCTCAAGATCAGGACTCTTCCAGACACACCAAGCTCTCTCTCTCTCTCTGAAGCCAGTTACCATCAGGAGAATCACAACCTGGTGATAAGATCTGGGAGCACTGAGTCCATCTGATTATACCATCTTCCCCTTTAAGGCTAACTGGAACCCATTCCCCCCCAACCAAAATACAAGTATCCATCAATCCATACTATGTCAAGGTGTCTACCCACTCTTAACAATGGGGACTAAACTAATGGGAAGAGAAGAAAAAGTAAAGCAAATCTGTGAAAACCACCTGTTCCAAGATCAGCCATGTTGATAGATATTAGTGCTGGGCAATAGGTACATGGGGTTTCTTTTTAGATTTTCATGTGTTGAAACATTTCAATGATTAAAAAAAAAAAACTTTCCTTGTAATCTGACCAGTTTCCCATCGTATTGTCATACTAATTTAAAAACCTAACGTCCAAATTAAAGTGAAAGAGGAAAATAAATTCATTTATCAGTTCAGTTCAGTTGCTTAGTTGTGTCCAACTCTTTGCAACCCCATGGACAGAAGCACACCAGTCTTCCCTGTCCATCACCAACTTCCAGAGCTTGCTCGATCTCATGTCCATTGAGTTGATGAAGCCATCCAACCATCTCATCCTCTGTCGTCCCCTTCTCCTCCTGCCTTTAATCTTTCCCAGCATCAGGGTCTTTTCCACTGAGTCAGTTCTTCACTTCAGGTGGCCAAAGGACTGGAGCTTCAGCTTCAGCAGCAGTCCTTCCAATGAATATTCAGGACTGATGTCCTTTAAGATTGACTGGCTGGATCTCCCTGCAGTCCAAGAGACTCTCAAGAGTCTTCTACAAAACCACAGTTCAAAAGTATGAATTCTTCAGCGCTCAGTTTTCTTTATGGGCAAACTCTCACATCCACACATGACTACTGGAAAAACCAGAGCTTTGACTAGATAGACCTTTGTCGGCAAAGTAACGTCTATGCTTTTTAATATACTGTTTAGGTTTGTCATAGCTTTTCTTCCAAGGAGCAAGTGTCTTTTAATTTCATGGCTGCAATCACTATCTGCAGTGATTTTGGAGGCCGAGAAAATAAAGTCACTGTTTCCACTGTTTCCCCATCTATTTGCCATGAAGTGATGGGACCAGATGCCATGATCATTTACCAGGTTTACACAAATAGTCAGATCTCACTGTCCAACTTCATTAATATTAAAGTATGTAAAGATCATTTTCATTAATTTCCCAATATCAAATTTGGCAGGAACATTTGTTATCAGACAAAAAGCAGTTAAAGCAAACAAACCACTTCTAATCACATCATCTGGTGATTAATGTGTCTAATGTTATCGAATAGTGAATGGACTTTAAGTCTCAGGGTTTGGGCTAGGTAGGATTTATTAATTTAAGGATTTACTTGGCTGCCAAAAACTAATGAGTTCACGGCAAGTTGTATGAACTTAACACAAGAAAACAAGTGTCCTGGGAATTTCTTGGTTGCCCAGTGGTTAGGACTCTGCACGTTCACTGCCAGAGGGCCTGGGTTTGATCCCTGGTCAGGGAACTAAGGTCCCACAAGTTGCTTGGCACAGCAAAAAAAAAAAAAAAAAAAGCCACCAACAAGATTAACAAGCCTCCTTTTTCTGCATCCTAACAACCTTTTACCTGTAATATTTCTGGAAAAGTTTTACTTAAAAAAAATCATTCATAGCAAGACAAGAAAAAAGTTTCTGTAGACAGTCACAGAATGTCGCCAATAGCTAATTAATCCTGGCCAATTAAAAACATAACCAAAACATGTGCCCAGGAATCATTTTTTACCATGAAGAAGTGGGGCGAGGGGCTTCTATCACATCGGCCAGGCCACACACTCGAAGTGTGCCACATACGCATCTTAGGAATACTGACATTTGTGTACAATGAACTGTTACTTAAATGGACACAAGGCAAATTTATAATACCCATGAAAACAGTATCATTACCAAATAACTAAGAGACATCATACAGCACACCCGATCAATGAACCCAAGACACCATAGAGATTATGGGATGAGTTTGCCATTGAGCACCTTTAAAAACCTAGGCATTTCTGAGATTTACACATTCTCCTAACAAGAACTGCTCTTCCAACTCTTAAAGACTGCCCTTTAAGCTACTGAACCCTTTATGGGACGTTCTTATCCAGTTCTTCATCTCTCACTATCATGAAAAAGGCATCTTTTTAAAATAAAGTAGGACCCATTAGCTTTGCAGAATGCACTATTAAAAAAAAAATCAGCTTTTGTTTCTCTAAAAAATGAACTGACTCTGGAGAGAACTTGCTTAAGGTCATAGGTCTAAACTGAAGTCTTAGAGAGCCTCTAGAAATATCATGTACTGGCAGCACAAGGCCCCATAGGGAATACTTCAGGAAGTGAGATTTCAATTCAACTGAAGGAGGAGCTTTTAAAACATCAGAGCTTTCAATAATGGAACAGCTGCCTCCAGGGTGGTGAGCTTCCCAGTGCTGGGAATGGTCAAGGACAGCTAGCTAGAGAGGCGGATTGAGGTAAAGGAAAATGCTCTGAAGTCAATCAAATCTCCCACAGATTCAGCCACTTCCTATGTGATCATGGACATACTCAACTAACTTCTGAACTTCAGTTCTGTCGTCTGTAAAATGGAAGCTAGCTCACCTCGAGGGCTGTGCGAGTCACAAACAGCAGGGACAGGTTCAGAACGCAGCCCAGCAGGGTAACTCAAATGGCACTTTTTGTTAGTTTTGTTACTATGAGTACCTGGCAGGAAAGCTTCAGTAACATCCCTTTCAACCCTAGGATATTACCAGTTTCTCTTTTTTGTCCGTTCTGCGCCCCCACCCCCATTTCTCTTAAAATGGATTAAAATATACAGGAAAAAAAAGAAAAACCTCAACTGCTCAAACTTACTGAGAACTTAATTTTGTAATTAAGGGCAGTTACTGACAGGAGGTTGATTTCCCAGGAGAGGCACTCTCCTTCCACCCTCTCCACACTCCACGGTGTCTCATTCTTCCCCCCGACCCCAACTTAAGACTCAACATAAAACTTGCCCTTCCGCCCTCAGTATTAACAAGAACAAAGCTCTGAAACAGACAGATGTGAAAAGATTCCTAACCTGGGAGATGAGAGGCCTGGGCTTGGTCTCCGGTTCTGCTATTAACTCCCTACGTTCCCTCAGCTAACTCTCATCTTTGTACTAGAGTACTACTCATAGATGTCACCTCATGTGATTTTCACGACCTTGTGGAAGGTATGAGAACTGCCCTTAAAAAATGAAGAAATTTATGGTCCCCAAAGTGGAGTGACTTTCCCTGGGTCTCACAGGAAGGAGCGGGCACAACATCTTGCCCAGACCCCACCCTTCTCAAAAAAGCAAAACAAAACTTATACTTCCCGGTCTTACTAAAGACAGAACATTCCTGACTAAACATGATGAATGCCGTTTACCTCTCCTCTCTCAGGACCTGGCCTAATCAAGACAGAAAACAAGACATTTGCTATCTCTGGGAGGGAGGTTTCATCTTCCCTCTCTCTTCTTATCAAGCATAACGAGGGTTAAAGAGAAGAGAGACTCTGCGCTTATCTAAATAAACTTACATATACATAAAATATCTTTTGAATACTCAAGAAGCTGGTTAATACTGATTGTTTCCAGAGAATACTGGAGGGTTGAGGAATAGGAGTGAAAGTCCCTTTATGAATTTAAAACAGTATGAATATCTGACCTGTTTATATCCGCCTTCGGTTTTAAGATGAATTTTTAAAAGCTTTGAAAGAATACAAACAGGGCTTTGCAACCCAACTTGTTGCTGGGTAACCCTGGGCAAATCACTTCACCTATCTCAAGCCCAACTTCCTCACTGGTGAAAGGTAACCACTAACAGCTTTATCTACAAGCGTTTTTTACAAAGAATAAACGGGATAACGCACATAAAACGTTTAGCACAGTATCCGCACAGTGGAAGCCTACAAAAAATGCTGCCTACCACCATTATTTAGCATTAACCCTGCTATCTTTATTGCAAGCAGCACTCCACATACACACCTGTTTCCATGGCATACCCACAATTACGGCGCAGTCCCGCACACTCGTACAGCGCTTTGTACTTCACAAACCACCTCTCCACACTGCTTCATCCTTCAAACTCATTAACAGCCCTGGGACATCACGGTTAACTCATTTCGCAGCTAAGGAAACTGAGGCTCCAGGAGGCAGTCACTCAGTTCTCCCATCTCTAAATCAACTCCAGATCCCTTCAACCCGTTCGCCGCTCCCAGGTCCCCTACTCCCGGAGCCGTGTTCCGCGCGGCACTGACCTGAGCGAGCGCCCCGGGGCCCAGGACCTCGCGCCGGGCTCACACCAACTAGGCGCGCTCGGGCCGCCAGAGCCTCGCAGCGGCCAGGTCCGCTCCGCAGCCATGGCGCCTGCAGGGAGAGAAAGGCAAACAGCCCGAGGCGCGACGGGTCAGCAGAGGCGCGGGCCCCAAAGAGCCCCCTCCGCGACCCGGCCCCGCCTAGAACACAGACCTGGACCGGCGGCCGCCGCTCTGGGTCCGCAGCCTCACAGGGGAGCGGCTTCCGGTGCTGCCTGCGTCATCTCCGCGCGTCCCTCCACCCGCGGCGCCCAGCGGACGCGGCTGAACTTCCGGCCCCGCCGTGAAGCGGAAGTAGGAGGGCAGAGGCGCGTAGAGGGAAACGGAGCATGCGCAGGACCCTTTAGTCTTGTGGCACCGGGACCGAAGTTTACTTCGAGAAGGTATAAAGAAATTGTCCAGCTAATTTATGTCCGTCACCCAATCTGATCTTGCACCACCGACTGACACTTTTTCTTATTATGCTCACTTTCCGAGGAGGGCGGCAATATAAGAGACATGTCCAAAGAACAGCAATTCATATGACAGAGAGTCGTACGTGCAGTTAGTGGTAGAGCAGAGCGAAGGCTCCACGCGTCCGGAGTACATCTAGGGCACTGAACACATGGGAAATAAAGTTGATTCTTTGTGGTGGAAACTAAGTATGGAGTTCAGAAAGTCAGGTCTTAAGAGAGCGGGTTTGGTTTGGTAGAAAACAGGAAGACTGAGAACTTCTAAGCCAGAGGGTGACTGATGATGATATCACAGGAAAATTTAGGAAGACATAGGTTCACATGTCAGATTGGGTGACCTTTATGAAAGAGAAGGCAGTGCTCAGGTAATCAAGAAAACCAGGCACTTCTATTTGCAGCAAATGATCTCAACCCTAGTACTGTAAGAGTTTGCTGAATCAAACTGAAAATTCTAGATGGAGCTGGCCCAGAGATAATATTGTTTGAACCTCTCATGGACAAAGAAACCAAATTGTCTCAGTTTAAGTCCAGAGACTACCCAGGAGCAAAATTTATGGCTTATTAAAAAATGAAAATTGCAAAATGGAATTTGTATTTAATGAAATCCAAGACCTTTGTAATCATTCAATTTTGTGTATGTAAAAATTCTCATTTGCATTTTTTAAGGATATATATTCCCCACTTTGTAAAAAATCTCCAAGAATCCACAGTGATTGTTGAGAAAACATAGCTAGCTTTAAAATGCAATGAATTCCTACGCAAATGACTACAAAAACTGCTATGAAGGGCAGGCAGGAAGATCCATATGCAAAAAGAGAAACATGAAATATAGCCTGGCATACGAACAGAAGGTTCAGTGCAACTGCTTGTGACAGGAACATAAAAATACGCTGGATGTTGTTTCTTTCTTTAATAAACTTGCTGATCAAACGGTATTTGGAGTAATTTCTACACATAGAGACAATAGAAAAATTGCAAACATCAAATGCTTGGTTTTTCCAGTTCAGGCTAAAATGGATTACAGGTTGTTTTCTATTTTGAGATAAAGTTGCCTGGGAGAGGTAGATGGATGACATATAATTAAGAACAATCTTAACATGGCCTATACCAGGAATTCAAAATCCTTCCTGATGAGACATGTATCAAACTACACCATAAGTTTCTTTGGGTAGAAAAACATGCACCCACCAGGGATGACAAGTATCTCTTGATGTTTAACACATTTCTCGCACGTGTATGTACCAGGAAGCAGAAACTACCCTGTTTAGTTTCTTGAGATACACTCTGTGTGATGATGCTATGGAGACATGGTATGTGTGAACTGTTCTTTCAACTCCCACACATACTTCACCAGGAACTCCATATAAAGACAAGGGGTCAGTTTCAAGAGTTACACAAGGTTGGAAGCATTTGAAGAGGTTTGCTTTCTATTCTTTGTTCTGGATTCACTCTAGCTGTAACATGATCAGCACTTGCTCTCCTATAGAGCCAGCAGGTATTCTGGGACAAAAGCTCAGGTTGATTGACAAGAAACCTTATCCTGAAGGTCTCAGGCACAAGGTACTGTACTTCAATTGCTGTTAGTGATCCTGAGATACATTTGGACATACTTTGACATCTGGACTCAATAATTTCCAAAGCCCCCAAATTGTTCACAGACAACATGCAGGTAAGTTTCTTATAATCTTTGTAGCATTTTATATCTACTAGAATAAGCTTTGAGTAGGCTGAAGTTTCTTCTTTGTGTAAATCATCAGATGAACTAAAAAAAAAAGGAAAGGAGTTCAGATTATAGTTGTGGGAATGTTTTGCTTTGTTGTTTTTTTCTTATTAAATAGACATGGGTAAGTAAAAGATGGACTTCAGGAGTCTCTAGTGGTTAAGAGTGAGCTTTGAAACGGACAGATTTGAGTTCATATGGCCCTATCTCACCCTCTTCTTACTCACTAAATGATCCTGGGCAAATGCCTAAACCACATGGATGCTCAGCTTAAGTCTGAAGATAACCTATCTCAAAGGGATATTAGCAAGACTGAAAAGAGTTAAGGCATGTAAAATGTTTAGCATAGGGCCTGGCTCACAGCCAGTGCTCAATAAGACATTAAGTGTCACTATGGGAGTCTTTATTGATTGAGGCTCCGATGAACAGAGACTTAATTCTTCTAATGTCGCTGGCTCTGTTATATTGCAATACTGTATTGTATATGTTCTTCCAGATGGAAAGTTTCCATCTCCTTTAAGGTGATGGAATAAGCTTGGCATCAGATATGTCCTAGATCTCTGAAAAGGTGCTGTGCAGATAGCAGGAATCTGCCCATATTGAAAGACATGTCACAAAGATTAGGGGACACTGTCAAAACAGATAATGTCAGAATTCAGTATTAAATTGAAAACTCTTACTAGAAGAATGTAAATGTTTGATAGTAGCCACTGTGCAGTGGTCAACAAAAGCTGCCACTCCATTGACAAATAGCCCTGGACCTTTGTAATCAGAGAAGAAATTGACCCAAGCACACTGGTTCCAGAAAGGACCATCATATATTTTCCTGTAAGTTTTTAGCATAATGATACCAATTGTTACTTTATAGTCATGTGTCTATGTCTGATTCCTCTGTTTCCCCAGAGTCTAACACAGTGCCTTGAACATAGTAAGGGTTTCATCCAAGCAAGAAAACAGATGACATTTTGTTCAGTTTCCACTTTGTGCTAAATACTGGTCTCAGTAGTACTGGAGAAGAGAGAGGCATGATGTCCAGGGGACCAAGATCTAGTGAGAGAGACAGGTAACAAACACTAATAATAAACACTTAAAAATAGTGTACTGTTAAGTGCTTTCAGGTGTACACAAATTCCAGGAGTATGTACATGGAAATGGGGATGAAGCTTGAATGATTGTGTGTTCTTTCATTTAGGTGACTTTCTGCAGACTTTGGACCCATCAGTGGTGTTCATCCTGTTTTATGTTATTCTATTTCATGCCTTGCTTTTTGGGGCTGATTTTCTGGAAGAATACTTCCTGCATGCTTTGCCTTATGTAGATATGAAAGTTCTTGAAATTAAGGATAAGGCAAGAAAATTGAACACGGAGCCCTTGAGAAGCAATCTTTCCAAATACTATATGCTGAGCCAGTTGGAGGTGTGTAAAGCAAAGAGCATATTTTTGCTCTCTCTTATATTCAGTAGCCCAGAAAATGGAACAAGGCGGGATCTCATCAGGAAAACCTGGGGTAACGTGACCAGTGTCCGAGGGTACCCCATTCTCATACTATTTGCTTTGGGAATGCCTGTTTTGGTGACCACTCAGCAAGAGATAGAGTCCCAAAAGAATAATGACATAATTGAAGGCATCTTCTTGGACAGTGCTGAGAACCAGACTCTGAAGATCATTACCATGATGCAGTGGGCTGTGACTTTCTGCCCTAATGCCCTGTTTATCCTGAAGGTTGATGAAGAGATGTTTGTCAATATACCAAGCTTGGTGGACTATCTTCTCAATCTGAAAAAACACCTTGAAGATATCTGCGTTGGAAGAGCTATCCATCAGGATACACCCAGCAGAGACCCTGATAGCCAAGAATCTGTCCCTTTCAGTGAGTACCCAGAAAAGGACTACCCAGATCACTGCAGCAGGGAGGCATTGGTCATGTCCCAAGATGTGGCTCGGATGATGTATGTTGTTTTCAAAGAAGTACCCATTATAGTGCCTGCTGATGTGTTTGTAGGAATTTGTGCTAAGTCCATTGGCCTTATACCCATCCACAGTTCAAGGTTTTCTGGGAAAAGACACATCAGATACAACAGATGTTGCTATAAGTTCATTTTCACATCCTCAGAACCTACAGATGCTGAAATGCCCCTGGCATGAAAGGAAACTAACAGTGGAAAAGAATGTACGCTGCTTGAAACCTATTACGGGCTTGTTTCCTGCAAACTTCTGACGTATCTTGACAGCTTTAAACGCTTTCACATGGGTACCATAAAAAATAATGCCATGTCTTATGATGACTAGGGTTTCTTTGTTTTTCTTCAGAGTGTGTTCTTTTAAAATTACCTCCAACCTTGTTACAGAAAATGTCCCTCCTTTCTCGTGTTTTTATGTAGTTTCTCTGAATCTTTAATTGTACTCGGCAAGTTGCCAAGTGTCTTATTGCTCTGATGTAGTACACTAAATTGAGATCTCATTTTAAGAAATTTAAATCAGTGTAACACGATTCTCTTCAAAATAAAACCTTCTGTCTAGAAAAGAGAGGACATAAAATTGAATTATGACTCAGAAGTCTTGTTTCTCTTTTATAATTAATGGGTTTCTAAAAATCACATTCTATGGAACTCTCATGACTCAGTGATCCACAGCAGTGACTGACTTTTTAGAATGCTCAGAATTAAAGAGAAACAATAAATAAGGAATTTAAAAAGATGTTCATCTTGTCTGCAAGCAGGAAGCCTTTTAGTAATCTGGATGGTGGAATCACATTTAAAAGTTTTAGCTACCTAGTATATATTAACTTAAATTTCACTGCTATAAAGACTTGGCTGTCTTTTGGTTAAACAGTTTCCATCAGGTCCTAATTAAGCAGTGTTTTACAAAAGGGATACAACA